ATGTAATCTTAATTAAGGACCAAAAAAAATAGGTTTTTCAACTAGTTTAAGACCACATTTCCCTATTCTTTGCACTTAAACAATCCATGTACGTGTTTTGGATAAGCATTCACATATGTAACTCTTGAACGTGTCAAGAGAATGATTTATTCATGTATCTCGATAAACTTGAATTTCTTAATAAATTAGTGGAAAATTATAAATCTCTATTCATATGTCTAAAGATGCAATAAGACGAGAGCAAATACTCTCCCTTGATTGGTTCAACAGAGGCTTGAACATCTCAAGCATTCTAACCTCAGGGTATATCAACTTGATTGGTGTTTCAAAGAGAGACTTCCACAAATGAAGAATGTTAGACTTTATCTCATCCCTAACAAACCCATTCGCTTGTGAAACATCTTAGGCAGACCTCAACATCTCCTCCAGCTTCTTCATCTCTTGGTTATAGTGTTCAAAATCAGAAGGTTTCACGACGCCACCACAAGAGCCTTCTCTCTTCCCGAGAACAAAAACAATGCGATCCAATTCTTTGATCCCAAAAACTAAAATTCTGATGACACTTTCCTATTAGTTCCCGTTGAATGGATTTCCCATTAACCTGATAGACTCCATTCTTGGGTTTGATATATGTTTCAAATACATGTAGCATAACACAAAACAACCTTCCTACCACAGGACCATCATTAGTATATTTAAAACCTGCATACTTCACTATCAAAGGACAGAGGAGTAACATAGAACGTAGGTCATCAGATAATATGAACATTGCTTCAGCCATAAAGAGTGAGAGCTCAACTCCGAGTCGTATAGCCTCCTCTTTCTGCTTCTCAATGGTAAGATTAGTCTTTTTACTGTTATGAATAGTAGATAGTTCTGACCTTAAAATGTAAGGAGAATATCTAGACTGTGGTAATCTCTTGTTGTTACGGACAACGCGGTCAGTCGTTGACATTGATTCCATCTTTTTTGAGATGGTCGAGATGTCTGAAGAATTCATCGAATAGGGCTCTAGATGAGGTTTGTTTTGTGGGGATTTCAAATCTATGAATCAACATGTAAGAAAACAAAAATTAGATTAAATATATCAGAAAACGTTTGATTATCAATCGGGCAAGTGAGAGAAGACGAACCCTAGATTAATAGAAAGAAAATAAACGATTGCACTCACGTTGTTGTTGTAGTTTTCTCTGAAAACCTAATCTTCGACGAATTATAATTATCAAGGAAAAAGGCTTTAATGTTTTATGGGATTAAAATGGTATATATAGAGGAATGGAAATATTTATAATGAATTTTTGCAAAAAAACGTAGTTTTTATGTTTTATATTAGAGAGAATATTTAGTTTTTTAATTCAAATAAGTATGAAAGAATTCTGAATGATCTTATTAGATTCTAGGGCCAAGTTATACAAGAGTTTGAGCTTATCTAATAAGAAAATATAACAAATTGTAGTTATTAACAAAGGAAAATATAATTATTCATAATATCCCCTAAAGTTGGAGCGCAGAGATTATGAACTTGAGCAAGAACCTATCAAACTCCTTTCGTCCAAGAGCTTTAGTGGAAATGTCCGCCATTTGATCCTCGGTAAAGACATGAATAGGCCGAATGACACCTTTGACTATTTCGTCGTGAACAAAATATAGATCCATTCAATATGTTCTGTTCGTTTGTGAAAGATGGGATTGGAGCTGATGTGAATTGCAACCTTGTTATCACATTGAATAGTCATAGGTCCTTCAGGAGGCAGATCAAACTCGTTGAGAATAGAACGAAACCATAGAAGTTCTTGAGTAAGCGCAGCCATGGCCCGATATTCAGCTTCAGCAGAATATCGAGAGACCGTGTCCTGCTTGTTTGTTTTCCATGAAAGGTGCCAAGCTGAACCATCCGACCGGTAAGAGACCGTCTTGTTAGAGGACAAGACGCATAGTCAGAATCACACCAACCAGTGATATGAAGAAGAGATGTCGCATCGAGGAGTATTCCTTGACCAAGAGTTCCTTTCAAATATCGAACTACTTTGCGAGCAGCAGTCCAATGATCTTCACGAGGTGAATTCATATATTGAGAAAAATGTGTACTGCATATATGTAAGATCAGGTCGAGTGGCAGCAAGATAAATTAGACGACCAACTAAGCGACGGTAACGTTCAGGCTCGGGAAAAAACAGAGTAGTGGAGAGACTTAAGCGATGATTTCGATCCATTGGAGACCCAGCCGGATGACAGCCGGATGTTAGCAAGTAAAATACATTGTAGAGCGGAGCAGCAATGCAACGGAATAGAACCATGAGAAAGAAGAAGCGGCTTGTCCGATAAAATATGTTGCAGGGACATACATAAACAGAAATAGATATCATTAGCTGTAATACATTGTGTTACTACATTACTAATAGAATGATTTGATGAAAACTAGAACAGCGCAGAGACCAAGCGTGCCAAGGCCAAAACTTAGAAGCAGAACATTTCCGTAACCAAGCTCTATTCCTTCTTTGAATCCGAATATAAACGGGTAATTCACTCGATATCGCTTCCAAAAGTATATGTTTGAAGCATACATGATCATGTTGAGAACTTCGAATTAGTATCTAAAATATTACCATTCGAAGTCGAAGTAATTTTGTAACTGGTTAGTTTATAAACCCGTCATTTCCAGTATTATCAATAACTTACATGCCAAGAAACATATAAGAGAAACCCGATATTGGGTTAATGATCTTACGTTTTGTGGAGTTTATAACAACAAAAGATGAACAAATCCAAAATTGACAGCATATTAACTATTATATACACTTCACAATACTTAATGATGCTTCTTAAGTAGAAATCTACTCATGATGATATTTGTTGGTTTACAGAGAATTTTTGAAACCTAAAATATATATATATATATGAGTTGAATAAAGCCGAATACCAAATATGCAACAACATTCAATACATATATGAAAATAATCGAAATCTAAGAAACTCTGATTCATATGTGTAAAGAAGCAATAAGACGAGAGCAAGCATCCTCCCTTACTTGGATCAAGAGAGGCGTAAACATATCAAGAATTCTATTCTTAAGGTTTATCACATTAGGTTGTGATGTTTCAAAGAGACACTTCCACAAATAAACAATGTTAGACTTTATCGCTTCTCTCGCGAATCCATTCGCTTCTGAAACCTCTTTGGCAGACCTCAAAGTCTCCTCTAGCTTATTCAGCTCTTGGTTATAGTGTTCTAAATCAGACGTTTTCACTTCCTCACAAGAAGAGCTTTCTCTCTTTCCGAGAATCGAAACAATGCGATCCATTTCTCTAACTCCAAAAACAAATTTCTGGCTAGACTCTAAGATAAGTCCCATTGGTTCGATTTGCCATCAGCTTGATAGACTCCATTCTTAGGTTTGATATATGTTTCAAACACATGTAGAACAACACAAAGCAACCTTCCTACAACCACGGGTGCGGTAAGACCTTTGTTCCCTGCATCCTTCAATAGCCAAAGACAGAAGAGTAACATAGAACGTAGGTCATCAGATAATAAGAACATTGCTTCAGCCACAAAGAGAGAGAACTCAACTCCCAAACGTTTAGCCTCATCTTTCTTCATCTCCTTCTCAATGTTTAGGTATGTCTCTTTACTATAAGGAGAATATCTAGACTGTGGTAATTTCTTGTTGTGACGCACAACACGATTGATTGACATAGATTCCATCTTTTCAGAGATGATCGAGATGTTTGAAGAATTCATCGTGGAGGGATCTAGATACAGTGAGTGAAGAACCCTAGATCGTAACTTGAATCGTCAATACGAAAACCCTTGAATGGTATCAAATCTAAGTTCCTTGAAAGAGAAGTAACGATGCAATCGTTGTAGTGCAATTGTTCTCTGAAAACCTAGCCAATCAATCTAATTTTTTTTTGACAAATAATAGAATGTATATAGCGTCTATCTAAATAAAGAGGAGAAGAAAAGGAAATTAGTTTTTTACACTCATAACAAAAAGGAAAATATTTTTTTCGCCGGCGAGGAAAAGGAAATAATTTTTAAGTTTTAAATTAGAGAAAAGACTTGTTTTTCAAATCCATTTACGATTTGATTTGGGTTTAAAACTTAAATATATATGTCTAATTAATGATTAATCTAATCGCCTTTGACAAATAGATAATTACAAAAAAAAGGCTTATAGATTTGTAGTTTTAATCCTTAGTTGCTGTCACAATTAGCCTGATTTATAGGAATAAGAAAGAGGGTTAAATGGACACGTGGAGGGTGGAGATTAGAAGTTATGATCAAGGAGCTGGAATTGAAAGATTGTTGAGAGAATTTGATTCAAGTTAAAGTGCCAATGATGTCAATTCCGAAGTTTAAGTACAAAGAAGTGAAGCTGCTGCCACGTCTACCACAAAATGAACAATATAATCTCAGAGAGGAATGATCATTAAGCAACTTCATGAGATAAGTCAAGTGGATTCTGGTTTTAATCAAAAGTGATAACGGAAAACAGAGTAACGAAATAGAATGCTTCGATTAATGAAAATGACAGATTGATACAACGTTCATGAAACGCGATATCAACTTCTCATCTACAAGAGTTCAACATGAAACTCCGGCGAACGATGAGGAACGATTCTAAGAGAGAATCCAAAAGGAAACTATAAACAACAAATCCAAAATCTTCTTATCTTCTGCAAATGATCTTCATTAGCTATATATCTCTGCATCTCGATTCTTCCTCTAACACTCCCATCGACCAATCTTCTCTTGCCACGTCTCACAGCTACTGTCTCCACTCATGTATTGCCACGTATCTAACCATATATCAATGCCTAGTTTCCTATATCAAAAAGACAGGGATTGAGTTAGAGATGCATGGTTGGGACTATGAGAAGCCAATAAATCCAGATTATATCCGCTTGAATGGTATGTGCGAAGTGACTGAGTTACTTAAGTGTCCCAAATCCTGGAAATTTAAGTTTATAACCAGGAACTTGAGAGGTTATAAAGTGTACTCTAGTGTTGGTCTCGAAATTCTCAAAGGCCAAAGACAAGCTTAGGCCTAGGATGGGGTTGTGGAAATGGTTGTCAACCATCAATAGACGCGTCTCGTTTAAAACCTCATTAGCTATGTCATTGCCCCAAGCGCAAAGATGAGTTTCAAGGAAGGTTAGCCTCTTTATTTATACGGCCAAACAAAACATATCAAAACATAACAAAGTAATAAACATACATCGTTACAAACTTGGTATCTATTTCCGATGTAGGACCACTGGTACCAAACTAATAAATCAGGAAACTGTTACTCTCCACACTTATTTAGACAACACCACCAAACTTATCTTATTATGGAACATATGTAATTATTATGACTGATATAGATGATAGGGGCTGCGCGAACCCAAACCCCATCTTCCACAAACAATGACGTACATAGGCTCTTCCACTTGGGAAGATCTTAGGCTAAGCAAGTCACTAGCCTAGGCCACTCGTTTTCTTGATCCTGAGTTGACTCCGTCCAGTCCAGGTAAGTTTTTTTCTCGCGTCCGGTTCTCTACCATTTTTACTCCTCATTGTCTTCCCCACTCATTGCTTTAGGGTATAAGCCGTGTGGGACTTTGATTTTGGAGGGGTCAACAACATCAGAAATTCATTATAAACGTAAACAAATCATTCACCAATGAAATTATTGTACACCTTATTCAATTGTTTGTCGTTTTTAGGATTGAGCTAAGAAACTTCCGATTTAACAAGAAATAGCGAAAAAATATTGACGCGTACGTGGATAAGTCAACCATGTACAAACCTATCAAAAGAGAATACAAAAAAATCAACAGATATCGTAGTCACTGATGCTGTTCTCTAGCTGTAATTTAGATATATACATTTTTGGATTATTCTAAAAGAAGTAGCTTATGAAGACCCTTGAATTGTCTTTAATTAATAAAATGAATAAAAAAAAACGTTTGAAAATAGTTTAATTTTCTCCACTGGAATCATTTGTTTTTTTTTTTTTTAGAATCATTTGGTTTGGTCGTATGCTATGATTTTGATAAGATAATATATGAGTGGATTCACAAAGAATTTAGAAACAGCGAAACAAATTGATACTGAAAAATCAGGTCGGACAAAATAATAGAATAAGTATGAAGAATGCGGATCGTACGTGAAATTAATAGAATAAGTATGAAAAACAAATGCTAGATGTTAAACTGATATTAAATTAAACTAAAAAACAAAACTTCATTAATTGAAATGATATGCTATCATGTGTCGGTACATGCTAGTCTTATTTGAAATGACAAAGTTGTTTGATCCATTATATACATAATACATCTACACAGTGTAGACACATTACCTGACGATTTTTTTTTTTTTTATTGTTATTAGTTTTCTCTGAAAGAGACTTTATATTATTTATTTTTGCTGTAAACATTCTATACTAAATATTAAAAGGACTCATAGTCGATTCATTTTAAATTACAAATCTTAAGAGTTAAGACTGAACATGATAAACAGATCATTCCTACAAATAATATCATTTTAATTTTTTTGGACAAAAATAGCACTTAATAAATAATTTATTTTTAATTATTAAAATTTATAATTAAAAAAATTATAAATGAATGGATTAAATGCGTTAAAATAATTTCGGCAGAAATATTTCATCAAAATTTTTTCATAAAATAACTATATCATAGTCAAGTGCTTCACGACGTAGTTTCCAACTATATGTGTGACCAAATCCTCATAACAATGGTCAAGCTTAGTGGCGATAAAGGTACATCTTTGTTCATCTAGCAAATCAAAACATTTTTTGACGGAGTAGTTTGAAAGTCCGACATGGAGTGTGAATAAGGGATTGGAAAAGCAAACTTCTAAAAATAGAAAGGTGCAAAAAGTTAAAAGTTAAAACAGTATTAAGGCTATGCAAACTTTCAATTTTTTTGGTGTTATTTTTTTTGAGAAACTTTTAAAAAACTTTTTTTTGTCGGAAAATATTATAACGTAAAAAATTTGGCGAGAAAATTTTGTATGAATATTTTTTGGCGAAAAAATATTATCGAAAAATTTTGGTGATGAATTTGTGTATTTTTTAAAATTGTTTTAATTGTAAATTTTAATAATTAAAAAAAATATTGAATACTATTTTTGTTCAAAAACTTTTGAATGTTATTTTTGTAAAAAAAAAACTTGAAATAATCCTATCTGTGAGAATTTTTCTAAAATTAAAATTATCAACCACATGTGGGGTGAGATAGTGGTTCTCCTTTGGTGAAAGAATAGTTTTCTTATTGGTTTAGGCCTTTTTATAGATTTGGAGATTTAATCTTAGCTATAAAAAAAATGATTTAACCACTTGTTCAAATACGCTTTCCCAAAGAATATTTTTTTTTTTTTTTTTTTGATAAACTGTATTTTCATAGTATAATATTACTAGACCAACCACTCTACAATTAATTTAGAGGAATACTTTTGTGCATGCGTTATTAAGCAATTATTTAATTTCGTCATCCCTCGTAATATATATCCTCTTCAGTAAAATAATCTATGCAGCCAGTTTATACAACAAAACCAAAAACAAAAAATTGTCCAGCCAAGAGCCCACACCACATGCACCAAACGTCTTTTTCAATTTTATTTCAACTCTTTGGAATTTTCTCACGTCAAATTCAATCAACTTGCAAATATATATGCTGTTTCTATATACATTAAAAATAGGCTTTAAATTGGATCTGGATTCTTGAAATTTTACAGAGAAATTCAAGAAGGGAAACAAAGATGAAGTTTGGAAAAGAGTATGTTGCTCAGATGATTCCAGAATGGCAACAAGCTTACATGGATTACACTTGTCTCAAAACCATTCTTCGAGAAATCAAAACTTCACAGAAAAGATCAGAAAGCCAAGGTGTCTTGAAACGCAAGCTATCTGGTCGCCGCAACTTCAGCGGCCTGACAAAGCGGTACAGCCGCACCTTCTCGTCTCGGGACCTCGAAAACCACGATATTATGGTTCACGCAACGACTGGGGATGATGGATTTGAGAAATACGAGACGACCATCTTGAAAGTTTCAGAAGTAGGGAGAGAGTCAGAGCTTGTGTTCTTTAAAACCCTAGATCTCGAGTTTGATAAAGTAAACCGATTTTACCGGTCTAACGTTGAGGAATTGGTGAAGGAGGCAGTGGTTTTGAATAGGCAAATGGATGCTTTGATTGCTTACAGAATCAAACTAGATCAACCTTCTACTTCTTGGAGCTGTTCTGAAACTGTATCAGTCGATATCAATGCCTTGGATTCTAAGGAACAGAGTGAGTTTTCAGAGATTGTTTTTTGTTACTGGTTTAGTCTGAAAGGGCACAAATCTTGAATCTTTGTTGTGTCTTTGACTTAGAAGGGAAGACATTAGCTGAAGAGATGGGAATCAAAGTAGAGGAAAATGTATCCAACGGTGGAGATTCAACGAAAGAGACTGCACCAGAGGCATTAAGTGTTCTTGACCGTATCAGATTAAACAAAAATCAAGAAAATCCTCTGTCCACAATTAGAAACGTCCTCAAGCTATCTAACAAGGAAGATATAAAATTTACAAAAGAAAATCTCAAGAAAATAGAAGAACGGCTTAAGAATGTCTTCATCGAGTTTTATCGCAAGCTTCGACATCTCAAGAATTACAGGTATGTTGTTTCTCTAGTACAAAAACTAGCTAAAGAAGATGGTTTGATTTAACCTATGCTCTGTTCTTTATTAATTCAGCTTCTTGAACACTTTAGCAATTTCCAAGATCATGAAGAAGTATGATAAGGTAACAACCCTTGGTTTATTAAAAATACAATATAGAAGTTTCTTGAGACATTAATATGTTTTTGCTATATATTCCCAATCAGATTGCTCTAAGAAATGCAGCAAAATTATACATGGAGATGGTAGATAAGTCATACCTCACTAGCTCTGATGAGGTTAACACAATATATCTCTACACAAAACTTATTATTTTGTTTCATTAAAACTAGAAACTTAAAACTTAACCTTTGATTACCTTTTAACAGATCAACAAGCTTATGCTGAGAGTTGAGTCTATTTTTGTTGAGCATTTCGCCGGCTCGAATCGAAGCAAAGGAATGAATCTCTTAAGACCAAAAGTGACAAAAGAAAAACATCGAATAACGTTTTCCACTGGTAACTAAAAATATTCCTTAATCGAGAACAATTTTTCTTTGAGAAAATGTAAAAAAAATTGCGAACTTTCAAAGTTGGGACCGAAAAAAAGCATGAACTTTCGAATTATCATTAAACTCCCAAGTTTGATCTGACTTTTTAAACTTAGTTCATGATAGTTAATAAGTAAAAATCCCTACACTAAGTTCTTTTTTCTCAGGCTTTTTCGTCGGTTGCACAGTCTCTCTAGTGATTGCTCTTGGTTTGTTCATCCATGCTCGTAATATAATGGGCGCAGTCGGACATAAACTCTACATGGAGACAATGTTTCCTCTATACAGGTTCAAAACAAAACATATGTAGTAGATACACTCTCTACATGAGTCACTATTTTCTTGCTGACAATAATGTTTCTTAAACGCATATTTTTCAGTTTATTTGCATTTGTGGTTCTGCACATGATCATGTATGCTTCAAACATATACTTTTGGAAGCGGTATCGAGTGAATTACCCGTTTATATTCGGATTCAAAGAAGGAACAGAACTTGGTTATGGACATGTTCTGCTTCTAAGCTTTGGCCTTGGCACGCTTGCTCTCTGCGCTGTTCTAGTTAACATGGACATGGAGATGGATCCTAATACTAATGATTACAAGACCATCACTGAACTTGTTCCCCTTTTTGTTGTCGCGGTAAGTTTTATTAGGTGAAAAATTCATCATTACAACCACAAGAATCTCAAATCATTCTATTAATAATGTAGTAACACAATGTTTTTCAGCTAGTGATAGCTATTTCTGTATGTCCCTTCAACATATTTTATCGGTCAAGCCGCTTCTTCTTCCTCATGGTTCTATTCCGGTGCATTGCTGCGCCGCTCTACAAGGTATTTTACTCAAGAACATCCTCTCCTTTTGCTAAGTGAAAATCATCGATAAATCTCTCATCCAAATTGCAGGTCAATCTTCCAGATTTCTTTCTAGCAGACCAATTAACAAGCCAGGTTTGTGTGTTACTTACCATAAAATTCTTCTCACTTTCATGATTATGTTTTCAAAATGTATGTTTTTTTTGGTAAAAGTTTCAAAATGTATGTTTTAACTTTGTTCTCAACCATCTTTTTTTAGGTCCAAGCACTGAGGAGTCTGGAGTTTTACATCTGTTACTATGGTTGGGGAGACTTCAAGCAGAGGCAAAGCACTTGCAAATCAAGTGATGTATATAGCACATTCTACTTTATCGTCGCTGTGATTCCTTACTGGTCACGTTTCCTTCAGTGTGTTCGAAGATTAATCGAAGAGAAAGATGTAAGCCAAGGCTTCAATGCTCTCAAGTATTTATTGACCATTGTTGCTGTGTGCTTGAGAACAGCTTTTA